GATCCAAAAGAAACGCTTCTGGATTCCGCAATAGTTCAAAAGAAGACATAGATCGGTCCGATTAGCTGCTAACACTGATGAGAAAACATTCAAAACCACCCCAAGTTTTCACTTTTAACACAAACAAATGCACTCAAAACTCACAGAGAGTACGTGCTGATGCAACTAACCGGTAGCTCAGAGGTAAGGCTACTGTGAAATGGACCTGGCCGCCCTCAAAGATTGACTATTTGACCTATTGAGGGTGGAGCTCCAAAATTAAACTTACTTATATAATTATACTCGTCATTCATGGACAAAGATTAATTTGTAATAAATAAAGAAAAACAGATTAGGGGCTACGCCAGAATAGACCTGGCCGCTCCCAGGATGACATCTATTTCCTCTTTTTAAGAGTGACGCTCAAAAATTGCAATTACTTGTAAATGAAAGCTCTTAAATAACTCGTAATTCATGCATAAAAATTAATTTGAAGTAAACCATAACACAGGAGGGGCTACGTCCAAGTGGAGCTGGCCGCCCCATCGATTATATCTATTTGCTCTTTTAGGAGTGGCGCTCAAAAATCGAAAGTACTTGTAAATGAAAGCTCTTAAATAGCTCGTAATTCCAGTACAAAATTTAATTTGAAAAAAGTAATTCTGATCAGTGGGGGGGCTGAGTCCAAGTAGACTCGGCCACCCCATAAGAAATGATCGATTCCTAGTGATTAAAGCGAGCTCTAAAATTTTAAGCTTGCGATATGAAAAGCTCCTAAATAGCTCATAAATTGGATACCATTCTTAAATTAATTCACAATGGTGGGGGGGCTAGGTCCAGCGGGGTAAGGCGGTGTGGTGTGCATCGGCAATGTAATTATGTAGGTATACAATTAGAATGGTCTTTGATTTAATCAGACTGCATACGCGCAGTGCAAAATGCGGCTTATTTCTGGTATTGTGCTTGTACCCTTTCACCTGCAATAGCACAGGGTTAATACTAATAGCAATGAAATTACACCATAATTACTTCTTGAACAAGCTTAACATGCAATTATTTTCTTAAGGAATCGTCAGTAAAACAATGCAAGTAATAAAAGTTCAGTACTAATTTACTTCGTATATTATTTGTTTGTGACTTGCACTAATAATGTTTTGTCTGAGTTCCACTCACTGAGTGGCGCGTTATTTATTAATAGCTAGAATATTCGGTCAAATTCTAAGATCTGGGTAATATATGTGCGTTTGTAACGGTTATAATTAGTGAAGTATTATTATACATGTTTTCTTTAATAGAGTAATAGCCCTGTATGAGACGGGTTGGGCCACATAATTTAGCCCCGACGTGTTATTTCCCAAAGATGAACTCCAGGTACTCAATTCAAGAGACTGAGTGGAACCCCCACTGACGAGAAAACGCCAGATACTCTGGACGGACTGGGGTTCGATCCCGGGTCCTCTTAGTTCGTATTATACTACCCTAACGATTAGACGACTCCGTCCGTCTTTCCAAATGTTTATTTCCGGAAACTTGGCGAAAGTTGAAGACTTGAGACATTTTGTTAATGCTACCTCTAGCTAGCACATTGGGAATTTTTAATGACGAGATGGATTGTAAATTGGTAATAAGTAATTTTATTCCAGAAAAAAGAGGATCGGTATACATATAACGAAAAGATGGCCAAGATAGTCCAGGCGCTGATATAGGTATTGAGCATGCACGGGAAGTCTAACGCGGTTTGACTTTTGATTATTGTTGGGGGCATATAGTAGATGAAAAATATCGATGTCGTCGCATTTCCGCGGTGGGCATAACATGAGGGGGAGTAGGCAAAGTCGCGCGCGTGGCGATTCACTTTATCGCTTCTAACTCAAAGACGGTAATAGAGCAATGCTTGAAGCGGCTATTTACAGCTACTTATATTGCCTACAAAAGAGTCCCCATGGATAAAAGTCGTACCTCTAACCTTTTTGTTACAAATGAATTATTTCGGAATATATCCAAATCCACAGAAAATCATATTTGCCACATATTTCTTATATATGTAAGACAATTTTAATAGTGTCGTTTATATGTTATAAGAGTAATTATATAAGGACATAAGTATTGCCATCATATTTTAATTGGCATAATGTAGGAATTAAATTTATATCTTCAAAAGATTGACCGATCACTAAATATGGTAATAGCCAAACGTTATTCCGCAGAAATTACTTCTTCCATAATGGCATCAGTTTTGGTAATGTCCCCTCGAATTAGTTCCAATATTAAATGTCTGCATATCCATCAGGTAGTAATTTTAGTAATCTTCAGTAAAGATTCATCAATTTTTTATGTATCTACACCTGGCGTATTCCGAACAATTTATGAACGTAAAGGGTAAAAATGGTACTCATGCAATGCTCGTCAGCATTGATGTTATGCAAATCTCGAAGCAGTTCAGCCCTACAAATGCAAAAACTGCTCCAAAAAAACATGTAACTGTTTATCAATTAATTCTTCTTGTTGTTCTTATTGCAAATGTGTTGCAGAAACCCATTATAAACTAAAGAGTTTGACGAAGAGAGCGAAGCCGAGAAAGATTTGTGACTGGGTGCCCAAGTACGCGCTGGAAAATTGTAAAATTGAGTGTATAAAACTATATATATTTATCTAATAACATACATTATTATTAAATTTATCTTACACATACAGGGTGATTCCTATAGTACCTGCCACCGTTTGGGAGCGTGTAGGTGGTGCGTAGGGGAGTATTTTGATATAGGACACTTGGGGTCGGAAATCTAAAATAAGGGTGCCAGAGCCAAATTTACCTTCTGGAATTTCGCGCCTGTAGGTAGGCAACCCAACCGGCCGGCGGTGCACACGGAGCGATCTCAGGCGGCGATGTGTGGCTGACACTTGATCAGAATTTTGTTTAAACCCACGAAATCCCGTCTGCAACGACGCGTATCAAGTGAATAAACACTATGGCAATAGTATAATAATAGTTGGCTAGATGTAGGAAGTGCATTGAGAACAACGGTGGCCACGTTGAACACTTGTAAACGTTATTGCTTTTGACTGTCGTTTTCCCTCCTTCCCTCCCATGTCGCTTCCTCGCGCTAACTCGCTCTGCATCGCTCCGCGCGAAACGTCGGTCGGTTGGGTTGCCTACATACAGGCGTGAAATTCCAGAAGATAAATTTGGTTCTGGCGCCCTTATTTTAGATTTCCGACCCCAAGTGTCCTATATCAAAATACTCCCCTAGGCACCCCCTATACGCTCCCAAACGGTGGCAGGTACTATAGGAATCACCCTGTATAAGAAATGTGCATTAAATATGATTTTCGATCGAATTTAGAAATATTCCAAAATGATTTATTTGTAACAAAACGGTTAGAGGTACGACTTTTATCCTTCGGGCCTTTTTTGTAGGCAATAGAAGTAGCTGTAAATAGCCGCTTCAAGCATTGCTCCAACTATTACCGTCTTTGAGTTAGAATCGTTAAAGTGAACAGCCGCGCGCGCGCGACTTTTCCTCCTCCCCCTCATGTGATGCCCACCGCGGAAATGCGACGACATGGATTTTTTTCATCTACTACCTATATGCTCCCAACAATAATCAAAAGTCAAACTGCGTTAGACTTTCAATGCATGCTCAAACTCTTTAGCGCCCGCCCTAAGACGTTCGACGCAATTTTAAGAAAATTGAAGGTACGGTCCCATATTAGTGAATTATTTCGACTGAGCAGTTTTCAAAAGAATAATTTGATTATTGAATGTAGAGTACTTCGTGTTAGCCTCATTGTTGGGTGATAAAATGCAACAGTATTGCGTTGACAAATCGGGGGATGGGATTCGTTTCTTGTATTTGATTGCCCCCCGGATTACTCTTGATAAAAAAACAACACTAATTATTTATTTGTTACCGGAAGGGACCTTAGTTTCTTAAATTACCCACTGGAAGAAATACACGTAAGTAAATGGGCAGTGAGGAAGCTAAAATACGTAATTGGATAACACATTCGTTCGCACTCAAATCCAATTCACTAGATTGAGTGGACTTGAACATGTATTACGTTTCATTTTCACATAAAATTGGTGCACTAAAGTGTATCTTCTGCTTTCTTCTCCCATCGAAAGTGTTGCTTTTCGTTACGAATAATGCTCTTATATAGCTCCTATTGTATTAAGTTAAGAATGCTGCGCGCAGTGTTGAATTTAAGTAACGGATAATTCGATAAATCGATGCAAGCGCATTCTAAGAAGACCTTCAACGGGTATAGCGATTTAAATTACCGCGCGTACGTACAGTGTGCCCCAGGTAGAACGGTACCATAGGGAAAAGGTATTTTTATTATACTTCATTGAAATCACCTTATTTACACCTGTATTAGAAATAATGGTATCTGGCCTTTTCCAGGTTAGCGCACGGAAAAACTTTTTCTACTACTACCCTTAGAATGACGTCATACTTGCTTCATTTTGAACAACAGAATATCGCCTATTCTCTGCTAGTAAAGTGGAATAATTTCATTCTAGCTCTTGTGATGGAATGAGCACATGTGGCGACATCTAATACAGGACATCCTAAAGCACAATTCTTAAACTGTCAAAATTTTAATTACGCTTGCGCCAGATTTTGAATTTTAAGGGCCGGTAGCACGAAAATGAATAGCAGTGGCCAGTGAGGATTTAATGGAACTTTCAAATACTCCCCCGGAAATCACCGCGGAAGCAGAACACGCAAAAAAATTTACTTCCTGACAAACCAAAAGTGTAGGAACATACATACAGCAAATTTTTGGAGTGGAGGATCAAGAAAAAAACCAACTCATTTTCAGAGAACGTAGTGCTAATTTACTTTAGCGAACTATCACAGGAAATTAAAGCATTCACATTGTGGAAAACGTAATCCACGGTGCGGTCTACGATACTTTTGAACAATTTATGTAGATATAAGCAGCTATGCATGCTAAGTTGCAGGCCTTAAAAACGCAATCCAGCGGCTCAAAAAGTCAAAAATTCTATCAACGAGCAAAGTAAAAATGTTTATTCAAAAAGCCCCCTCGACAGTTTATATCTACTATAACATTACACATTCAAATCGTTACTCGTTACATCATATCTATTTTACATTTAAAGGTTGCTCTTATAGTTGGCATTAGTGGTGCTTGTCGTAAGCACGAATCGTGTTCGTGGAACATAAAAATCGACCACATACAAGACTTAGGTGGAACTGTAGAACTGTAATTAGAATACCCAATACGAAAACTAACGTACAACGAAAGTTTACAATTACGGGGGACCACGTTGGTATACCTACAACCAAACATCAAGTTGCATATTGCTACAATGAATTAATATACCTCACTGCACTATACAAAAAGAACATCCAGATCCAAACAGTTAACATTGTTGGTCATCGAGAACACATTTCCTCCAGGAAGTTTTAAAACTAACCTAAAATATAATGCTCACTAAAATGTTACCTACACTCGTAGATATACTTACATACAAATTTTTCGAGTTTATTTCTGATTTGCGTCCATAACGTCCTCTTTGTAGCATTTTGTATTTGAATGCACATCATGAATTACATACCGGTCGCACACATCGAATACGTTTATCGTTTACGTTTATCTAAATCTAAATGATCCACGCCGATTCATACACTGCGCAGGACAGGACACATTCAACAAATGTGCACATTTGTAATTAATATCACAGAAAAGTTAGTATCCCTTTTCTGGGATAATATTGAGCGAAGAGAAATTGTCGAGAAAATTGTTTATACAGCCATTTAGAATCTGTCAAATATGCCACAGGGATCTGCTATACCAACCCACCGTACATAGACGTACCTACTAATGTGTGAATTGTCTATCGTTAGCCCTGCTTGTTTTATACATATTTTGCAAAAATTCGTCGTAGTAGTAGAAAAAATTATGTCTACCTATTACTTGTAAGGAATAGGTATTCAACGCTCGTGGAACCGTCACACTCGCCTTCGGCTCGTGTGACGAACTTTCCACTCGCGCGGAATACACTCTATCCATACTCGTTATAGAATATACTATTCCCGGTCCCTTTGATTCTTTCCGTGCGCTGAATATAATTACCCAAATTATTGCTACAAATTTACAAGGAAGTAAACTAATTTTCAGAAAATCTATATGCGTTGTAATGTTTTATATGTAAGCATTTTGCGTTTTAATTCGTAGATGTTTGAATATTTAGATAAAACTTCTTTGAGAATTTGTGACATTTTTTGACGTTTCGTCAAACTTATCTGAAATAAACTAATTAAACAAATCGCCTTTGAAATGATTTGAGAGTAACCATGAAAACGCATGTTCTATAACTGTTACAAAATAAAAATGTTAGCGAGTTTGTTGTTTTTTTTATCGATTTAAAAGAAGTAGGTATAATAAAAAATATCGTTCATTACACGTCCAGAAATGCTTTTTCCGTGCTTGTAAGTAAGTAGTAAGTAAGTAAGTAAAGTAAGTGGCCCTCCGGTTCCCCCCTGTTACTCGCCATGTGTGAGACTAAAATCTTTTAAATTAACCGTCACGAATTGGAAAAGAAATCATGATTGCTAAAAATCATGACAAACCCCAATTACCCGTTGCTCTGAAAACCTCACCGGCCGACTTGCTGCTGTTTAGTCGCCTTCTACGAGCAAATGTAACTTCAGAACTCTTATCTGGTTTGTAATTTGGGCTCGATTAAACACACGCATAAATTTACAGACAAAACAAAATGTAATCGAAACTGAAATAAAAATAGCCACTCAGGGCCCGATAACACATGTACCACGCAACAAGCGATCGATAAATAAACCAAAAAATAAAGTTGCGCTTTTCAACAAACAGGCCCACTAAGACATAAACCAAAAACTAAGCTGATGATGCTTCTAAACTTCACTTCGTTGACTGCACTTGAATCTCGACTTAGATTGTAATTACAATGACCCTTTTATGGTGCAAAAACTTTTTCTTAATCGCATACGCTTCCGCTCAAACGCGACTTATAACGTTCACTTAAATAAATACAGATCTCTAATCGCACCATTTAACTTTCTTCTACAAAAACTTTACATTCAAACAAGACTGACCGTCCCTTCAAAAACCTCCGATAACGGCAAAACTGACTGTTTTTCAACAAATACGCTCAAATACAGCTGAGTTACCACCACACACCACGATTGACGTCTGTCTGCTCTATTTAAAACCAGTTCTGTTTCTTTTAAACTTCCGCCTTCACTTCCTTAAGAAATTAATGCGTCGGTGAAGGATCAGCTGCACCAGTGTGTCCTTATCTGCGATATCACGTGCCTATCTTGAAACTAATTAGCTTACGCCGCGATAACAAAACTTCTTATCTACGACAGGAGATAAACTTCTTCAAATCTTACGCAATTATTTCCATATGTTAAATCTAGTGTTTGAACACGTAATAAAATTGAACAAATAAAAGAATACTAGGTGATTATTTAAACAAAGCTATTAGCTAACTAATAATAATTCTGATACAAAACAACATTGACCTAGAATTCGAAAACATGTCAGGAATTGCGCTTAATCCCAATTTACAACCTATGTTAAAAATAATTGAAAATCACAATATACAGGGTGTCCCATCGTTATTGCAGATACCGAAGTGAACTAAAACGTCCTCTTGACGTAGTTTACACAACAATGTCTAAAATGTGTATCTTGAGCTCTTTCAAAATACTAAATAAAGATACAGGTCCGTATTTAAAAAGAGAGAAAGTCATTTATTTTCAAAAATCTCTAATAAACTGTCACACATTAGCTAATTTCTCTTTTTTTCAGATTTTCTCTGCAATGTCTTCCTATTACACGAAGCATCATATTTCAATCTTGTTGTCTCTTGCAGTTTCCGATATTCCCTTGAATTTGACACACTCTGTAGAGTAAATTGTTTCATGTTATCTGATATATCAATATGTATTTTAGGGTTCATTCAATGTACACAATGCTAATGGGTGTTTGTTTAGGCAATTGTATATGGTGAAGTTTTAATCGATAGACAATTCAAAGCACAAATTAAAAGGCGGGGAAAGAACTCCCTCACAAGTTACATGGTGTAGTCTACACTTGATACTTAAGACAAGATGCATACCCCTTTTCCATATATGCATGAACATTTCGACAATAAACTCTCAGCCGCGCAAGGAGTTTCTTAGTTACTGCCGAAGTTATGGATTGCGATGTAGCTACGGAATGTAGGAAATAGTTTCGTGTAGGTACAAAGGATACTGTGGCTTCCTAGGAATACTCGAAACTGCCCCGACTGAAATGATTGGCTGGTTAGTTTTCTCACAAAAGCTATTCGAACATCGCCATGTGCGTTCAAGACGTACTTTCACTGAATATCGCTACTTGAAAACACAGAAAACGGACGTAATTGTGTACTGAAAACTCATCGAGTGGAAAGTCTACTTCTTAATTATATTACCGTGACGGTAAACCGCTTCTGCTCCGTATTTTAATGATATACAGTTATTTGAAAAACTGTGGGAATTGTCGAACGAAATTTAATTACCTACCGCTAAGGACGTTCAGAAGCTAATTATAAGCGCTACTCGTTTTTGCCGTCTCGCTAAATTTTCTACCTCATTAGAAATTACTAAACAGTTGAGTATACTTGACCTCCTATCTTAAAGGAACACACAAACTGTCCGGCAAGTACCCCTTTGAGGTTAGGTTATGTTGCGATCGTGCGTAAATAAGCATTTTAGGTGTTTGCTAAGCTAACATTGGGTTACGTAGCCATCTAACGTCTTGTGCATATTAATTAAGAGTCGCTGGTTTGGGAATTTGATCACATTTAATTTTCAATTAGACTACGAGATTGTACGTCGAAATCTCAGATGGCTCGGAACATAATTTGAATGCATATTGCATTCGAAAATTGGTAGATACATACAGGATGTTTGGAATATAGTAACGATTAATAATAATAATACGGCAGCATTCAGTTGTTTTTATTTCAGAAAATAAATGTGTAACGAAAAAACAATTGAATTTTTTAAGTAGCAATGTACCGTTTCATTAAGCTCATTTGAGAGAGATTTTATTGCTTTGTTTACTCGCACTCGAACTAACTTTTTCTTAGATCTTGTTTTTACGTTGACTTCAGTATTTAAGCAAACACCACATTTACTGCTAAATGAAGTTCTACCTCAGGAATTTTCCGTGTATCGCAATTCGACTTTATAACGCCAGCTTCGACAGGATGCGTCCCCACTTACGCCGAAAATAACGCGCATATCGTAAAAGCACCTGCATCTTCTAACAGCGATAAGAACACGTGCGTTAATTAAATTTTGCCCGATAAGGATTCTTATCGCAAAACAACCAGATAAAACATTTTATAAAGTACGCAAACTTGACCAGATGTGTCTAACTTAGCACCTTCTCTAAATTGAACGAATTGCAAAAGCGATACAATTTAATTTTTTTTTTGTAAATAAATAAACTACGTAATATATTTAAGAAAAGGTTACAACATAACAAATAAAATTGTTAAAAAAAAATTAAATTGTTTATTATTTAATTAAAAAAAACGCAATTACAAACAGCTCTAAAAGGAAAATTAGACATTGAGATAACAAATTCAAGTACATTAAACCAACTCTGTGTTTATTCTTAGATATTGGTCCGGAATGGAAGGTCAAATTCGTCCGGGGTAATTTCGGCAGTTGGTCCGGGATGCGCGATCATATTTCGGCAGTTGGTCAAGGTGCCATATTTAGGCAGTGCGCACGGGGTACTTTGGTAGTTGGTCAGAGGGTACCCTTCATCATGGTCTTATCTAGGACGTTGGACCATCCATCTTGGATGTTAGACCCACCTTGGATGCTGAACCCACCGCGAATGCTGGACCCACCATCTTGGATACTTGTCCCAACATCTTGGATGCTGGGCCCATCATCTTGGATGCTGGGCATTGTGTCTCACATCCCAACACGTAGAGTATCGCTATAGTATGACACACCGTAGGAGTTCTATTCGTACCACGCAGTCGAGCCGGCTGATAATTATATTTTATAGAGGCGAGAAATGTCATTTGGACATGAAAGTGTTTTGACTCTGCTGGTAACTTTTCCCAGAGTTGGCAACTGTAAGTATAGGGTAAGTAAAATAATCACAATATAAAAAAAATTTGGGCTTTATACCATCGAGTAAAGGCCTTAGATTAGACCCATTTTAAAAATTGTACTAATTCGAAAACACAAGTACAAAATATGTATATGACCAAAAATATCACATAATGGGCAAAAATTAGTGTGCAACAATAATTTCGAGTATGTACCATCTACTAAAGGTGTTTGGTTAAAGCTTCAGTTTGATAAATCGAAAACTATAAATAGTACGACAATAAATGGGCAAAACTTATGTACAAAAAGAATCCTAATTTTACAAATATCCAGTAGATTAGGCATGCGGTCAGAGCTACACTAAAAATTTACCTCGAAAACCATAAGAGCACAAAAATGTGGATAAGACAAAAATAAGCAAAAATTGCAATGAAAAAGATTCCGGTTGAGCACCGTCGTGTAGAAGGATTAGGTTAGAGTCACATTTTGAAAATGTTAGTACACCAGAAACCATAAGCATAAAAGTATGAATGATAAGATATACAAAAATACAATAGCACAAATTGGGCAAAGAATGCGGTACCAAAGGAATTCCATAATGAAAAAGAACAGAACTAATATGTGAGAAAATAAAGCGCTTTCAGATAAGAAACGGGTGTGCAACAGAAGAGTCGTA